GGGACCAGAGAAGATTACGGTGTCCGACATTGTTTTAGCATAACTACACACCGACTTCATTTGTTTCTCCAACTATCCTTTGAACATTATAAAAATGTCTGCCCTTTACTCCTCTATCCCACTCATCCTGCCATTTCTTTTTCATTTGGGATTTGATGATGCTTGTGATCTCAGCCTTGCTAAACTTCATACTCATTTGTCTCTTCCATGTCGCCAACTTTGCATATTTATTTGTTATCTAATTTCCCTCCAACCCAATGTGGAGAAATCCAGATGAAATAGGAGACTACTCATGCCAATGAGATTCTCTGAAGTGGTTGTGATCTTTCCAGTACTATGTCTTGTCTTGTTTCTGAATGCATGTTTAATGCTTTCCAATCCACTGATGGAGGCATATCCTATCAATACCTTTCACGGACAGAACTCTCTGTATGTTGCCACTCAGCGGCTAAATTGTTGGTTATTTAGATAGTCAATAAACACTAAAATAAGATCACTATATTTCAGTAAACAAAGCATTGGTCATAGTTCAGTTCAGAAACACCACAATGTAGTACCAGATGGATCTTTTATTGAAATTAATCTTTGCATTTGTTGTAATAACATCGCAGTACATGCACACTAGGAATATTGTAACAATGACCAGTTCCTTCAAAACAATTAAGCTCCATATCAAACAGGATTTGTCACATCTGAATGTGAGTCTGATGAGTGCCTTGAACTGGGCACTGTTACGTTCTCCTTCATAACAAATCTTGTTACCTTGCATCTTGAAAAGAGTGAACAGAAAATACAAGACAAGATAAAAACATTGATATCCAAAGCAGGAAGGAAGAACAGACGGTTGAGAACAAAACAAAGACATTTAAAAAAACAAGGCTGGACAAGAACTGTTATAATCGTGCGACATTCAGAGGAACTACTGTGCGATTCCTTGAAACTGTAGTTTTATTGATTAAAATCCAATTGTCAATAATTCTACATTGATGCGTTTGGGCTTAGCTTCTAGGCCAGCTCCTCTTCGCCTTCATCCTCAAACTCGCCCTCCTCCTCAGCGGTGGCGTCCTGGTACTGCTGGTACTCAGACACCAGGTCGTTCATGTTGCTCTCAGCCTCTGTGAACTCCATCTCATCCATGCCCTCGCCAGTGTACCTGAAACAAGGAAATATTACTCACTGCATATAACTTTCAATCTTTCTTGACATTTATTTGGCCAAACCATTCATCTTGAAAAAAAATTAAGGTGATCAATCCGTCAACCCTCTATCACTCACCAGTGGAGGAAGGCCTTGCGGCGGAACATGGCGGTGAACTGCTCTGAGATGCGCTTGAACAGCTCCTGGATGGCCGTGCTGTTGCCGATGAAGGTGGCAGCCATCTTGAGGCCACGGGGAGGAATGTCGCAGACGGCAGTCTTCACGTTGTTTGGGATCCATTCAACAAAATAGCTGCTGTTCTTGTTCTGCACGTTCAACATCTGCTCGTCCACTTCCTTCATGGACATGCGGCCTCTGAAGATGGCGGCAACTGTGAGGTAGCGGCCGTGGCGCGGGTCGCAGGCAGCCATCATGTTCTTGGAGTCGAACATCTGCTGGGTGAGCTCAGGAACCGTCAACGACCTGTAGGAAGGCAGACCATACGATTATTGTTTATTTTAAATGCATTAGTAAAAGTGTTAATTTAAATGGTGTCAATCCATTCAAAAAAGTAATTGCCTTAATCGCGTTTAAAATACTAGCATATACATGTATTTTAGGGGGGTATAAAACAAAAACATGTGTGGTGTTGTAATAAAGAAAAAGCATAACAAAAGGGTGAGTGTTATACATGTAGCATGTGCCAGTTAGTCCTTTCACTCGCATTCCATTCATAGCCAAACATCCTCGCTGGAATTACGGAAGGAAATTGACGTCAAACTTGAGTTGAGTTAAAGTGGACCTATCATGCTATATTTGAATAATATAGTGTAGGACCATACCTATATAAGGCATATTTATACTTT